GTGCTGTCTGCATAGTATGCCCTTAGTTTGCCAGCCTGCATGATTAGCAGGCTGACCTTCCAATCTTTTGAGTAGACATGCCCCCTTTTTGGGCATGTACGCCCCTTTTGGCATTTCTGGTTACGTGATTTGCGACAGTGGCACACCCTTTTACCTTGCCCATTGACTTACTGCTTCATTGGACACTGCTGTTAGGGGGTATGGATTTACTGAAAAGATGAAAGCATAAATTAGAGAGAGATTAGCATAGGATATGTGTTTTCTTATAGCTGCATCCTATGAGTTTCCCTCCAGCACCATCTCCATCGATACATGATACTTGGGAGGTATCACTGTTTTATTGTTTTTGGTCGATAAGATTCTGTAATTAGGCCGATCATAATTGTCAACACCAGGCCCAATGGGCTCTTAATCTCACCCTGGCTACTGACTGTCTAAATTTATGTCAGGCTCAAACCTGGGCCTATACATGTGTTCAGCATTTATAATATAGCCTGTTAATAATTTGTCTTATTTCACTGTCTGTTAATACTTACATTGTATTAGCCTTTTCTGGTTAAACGGCCATATACATGGCCCTCATTAAAATGTTATAGTCGCACTTCAATCAAGACATGCCATGAACCAGGTCTGCCACTTGGGTGCCATCAGTAAACATACACTCCACTGCCAGAAAATAAATACATTTAAAAATAAAACAAATAAATAAATACATTTTAAAAATTGCTTAGTAGATATACCCCAAATGAAAACATGCATTTATTTTGTCAAAATTTTTTATTGGGATTATATTTACTTATTTATTCACTAGCTTCACATTAATGCATGTCACTCTATGTTATTCTAGCCTTTGCTGTTGCTTTCAACCCTATTCTTCCATACCAATTATGTATACATAAGTCTTAATCGTCCTCCTAAGCATTCCACAAGTATGTCTTATAAACGTATTTATTATATATAAAAAATATTAAGTCCACCATTTCACAAGCTAGATATTTTATAAATTACGTTTAGCGTACCACCATCAGAGCCTCAAACCAATTCAGCACCTCATTCCTGTTGTAAATTCTGTTTTATACCCTCCGTTCAACTGGCTCAGTAAGAATGTATTGTATAACTTTTAACATGTATTTTCTCGACAACCTATATCTGATCTACCAATCACCCCCTCATTACTTTTATCACAACCTCACGTAGCCACCCTGCACCTCAGGACTTACATTGGGCCCCTTCTCAGCCTATTTGGGCCCCTTCTCAGCCTATTTGTGGTAACCCTCTCGTGGCTGCTACTGACTGTCTGTGACTGCCATACAACATTAAATTATCATGACACATTTCTGACTGTTGAGGAACCTATTGCTATACTCTAGAGCATTCACAAGCCTATGGCCCCATTTCATCCTGGGTAATCCGCTACCCCAAGATATAGCATAGGCCTATACCTGTAATATTACTAGGCGTACATCTTGACTTATTGTCAATACAGCCCTGCCCCCCGCGGACAGTGTCCAGCGTATCAGGGAAGACGGAGTCATTCATCGGCAAAGGTTTATTTCCCCACTGACCAACAATTTCCCTGTTATTTTAGACTCGGTTTGAAGGCATTATCAAGGACAACTGGTTCCGTGACACATGGCCCGCAGAGACATGAAGCCTACTCTTTTAGTAATCTCCCGCTCTCTTTGCAGTATACTCAGTCGCAGTCACTGCACATGCCTGGGGTCTCTGTTGGGGAAGAAGTCTGTCAATTACTACTCAAACACAGCAGTATGCAAAGTTACTTGGCTGGCAGCAACACAGAATTTTACTTTGTCTGCATACACATACCAGCCTGTAGCAACATAGCAGCTGTCTCAATCCCATTTCAGGTATTCCTCCAAACATTCCACGGCTGCTTACCCACATACTAAAACTCCTACATTCCAGGATCTCATTCTGGATTAGCTCATCTCCTGGTCATGGCAGATTGCTGGTACACGTGGCTCTATCTGCTTATACCAACCATTTATATACCAGAACTCCAGCCATTTTAATAAGTTCACTTCCTAATATCGAATCGTCAATCCGTACTCCATCGTTACCATGATGACATTCACATCCTTTTGCCACCTCAACCTTTAATTAGCTAACAAACACTTAAACTTATCTCATATCCACCTGCAGAGATATACCTACATAGTATCAACAATAAATGGTGCCAGGTCAACATCAATTGTCCGACACTCACAAGACTAAACAGGCATCTTTTTTAAGGTTACACACTCACTACATCAAATTCATCCTGTATATCAGGACACAATTCATAAAACTCCGATACGACCCTTCAAGATATTCAGGTCATTCTTTTAGAATAAGCACTGCTACTGCAACCTTTAGAAAACATCCAAAGCGCACATCATAAACTGGTACCAGCTTATACCACTACTATAACTCGGCTTATTGTCCCCGACTACAAATATATATATACATATTCATATATATATATATACACACACACACACATATTTCCTGGCCATATCCATGACAGCACAAGAATGGGTTAGGTCCTCCCCTTCCTAAATAGACAGGAACCAATTAAAACAAAGGGCATAAGTACCCCGTCCTACCAGAGGCGTAACTAGAAACCACGGGACCCCTGTGCAAAAATTGCCCTAGGGCCCTGTGTCTCTTTCCCAGCCCCTCCATGTGTCTAATCCCCCCAGCACTTACATGTGTCTCATTTCCCAATGAGTCTCATTTTCTCCCCCCAGCCCCTCCATGTGTCTCATCTCCCCATGTGTCTCATTCCCTCCCCCAGCCCCTCCATGTGTCTCATTTCAACCTCACAGCCTGTCCATGTGTATCATTCCCTCCCCCAAGCCCCTCCATGTGTCTCACTCCTCCAAAGCCCCTTAATGTGTCCCCCCCCCCAAAGCTCCTCCATGTGTCTCATTACCCTCAGGCACCTCCATGTATCTTTCCTTACAGTTCCACTCTTGCCCCTCCATGTGTCTCTCTCCCCCCTCTGTTTTATCTTTACCTTACAGTTGAAAAATGATATAATTGAATTTTATGTTTTTGCTCGTTAATCCCTGTTGACCCCTCCTGACACCTACATCATCGTTTCACACCTCGTTATTTCAAGTGTTCTGCTGGGTGGCCGCTGTTCGCATGTACGTACATGTGGGAAATTAGTTGGCAGCCATCTTGTTGCACAAACACAGGAAGCTGTAACCGCGGCTGGTTCCCTTATTTACCACTATAATGTCTTAAAGCATAGAACTTAGTAGGGCTAACCATACATATATCTTAGTCATAATTTCATATAGTTAGTGTAAGAGATCCTCTATTTAAAATATATAAATAATTGAGAATACAATATAAAATAAGGATTGTCTTGGAAGCAATAGTTTTGTCTTTTAGATATTTATTATATAAAAATATAAATATAGACATATAAAATCCATTATAGCAGAGTTTATAAGATTAAACTAAATGCTTGCAAATATCATTAATAGGTTAACATACCCTTCTGAACAAGTCATCATGTCAGCCTCTCTGTCATTTTAAGATGGAGCAGCGTCTGTCTCCAAGTCTCTCCTCTGTGTCTTAACATTTAAAAGTACACCTATTTATATCTTAGGTGTCTCCATTTTAGGGTCACCGTCGTTCATATATGAAAAAGTAACACTTCTTTTACTTTATTCATTTTAGGACCTCCCTTAATTTGGCAAACATACAAGGCCATAACTAAAGGGTGCATATGTCATGGAAATTTTCCTGACTTAGTTCAAGATGGCATCTTAAAGTCTAAATAGCTTATCTGTTGTTTATACTAAGACGTAAGTGCACAGTCGTGGGAGATTCCCGGATTTGGGGAAGTTCCATTAACTTGGGGTTACCACAGTATATTGTGTATTGAAAGAGTCATAGTATAGCCATGAAGCTTGTTTATGCATTATTGTTATTGTAATTCGTCTGGGACAAAATGGCGCAAACATATTATGCACTGAGGTTATTGCTTAAAGAAAGATCTATGAAAAACAATATGTTCCATTTCTAACACCTTGTCAGTTTGCAATATCTCTTAAAGACAAAGTACACAGTTTAAGAAATACATTTTATTCTAAAACTTGTAATATTTGCATTTGCCCATAACACAGCAGTGTTCGATCGTCGAGTGCATAGAACTGAAATGGGACAGACTAACTCGCAAACAGTGCTGAACTTCCATCCTCGCCCGCTTTTGTTTCCGTACACCTCAGAAGAGCGCTGTTCGGTAGGATTGTTCGCATGAACTAGGTGAACAATCGCTACCTAGGAGCCAGAAAATCTGTTTGGTGTTTTATTCATTTTTGGACTCCCAAAAGAGATTGAACGCCACCACATTTCTCCTGGAACTATTTTGGTCAGGCGCCACATTTGCGTTCTGTCAAAACTTTACCCGGTGGCGATTCGGCTGTGTTCATGGGATCTGAGCGCCCAGCATAACCTAATAGCGCTCAGATCCCACGAACAGGCTATACGGGGATATAGGACTTGCGGTAGTCCCTTGTAATATTATATTGGTTTTGGGGTGTTTTGAACATTGTACCTCTGTGCCTGGGAGATAATTAGTTTAAGCAGATCTTTTGATTCCACCTTCAAGTATTCTTATATCACAGTATCCAGCCCTCCCTCTGAATACGTTAAGTACTCCAAGGGTTAAATCACCCAAATAATGAATCTACAAGACACAGGCTTCTAATTGCGTAGTACACATTTAAAAAAGCAATTTCCTAAATTAAAAGAATTCATATTACATCTCTGTATATCAGGTATATCTCTGTATATTGGGGATTTGAAGATTTCAAATTTGGAGCTCCTCTAAAATCTATATTTGGGTTTTCAGATAACATTTTAAAAACTGAGTCATCTTGTCTTAAATCATTTTAATAATATGTTTAATATATTGGGCATGGTTGTTGTATTTAAAAATTATGGATATCTCAATTTTTTCTTATATTTCAGAAGATAACTCCATTCTCATTATTTATTTTAGTGTCTGATCCACATCGCAGCTATATTCTTTTTTTCAAAAATCTTCCTTTCAGAAAGTTTGCCTGATCTTGGAAATCAGTCCCTGTGCAGACCTTTTGATTCGTGTAAATTGGTTCTTCGGTATATTAGCAAGTACGGATAATAGTAGCAACTCGTCTTAAGGATATATTTGTAAACATCCACCTTTTTTGAAAAATGTTTTTGATTTTAGAGTTCCTTGGTCAATGAAGAGTTGAAGATAGATTGCCATTAGAGTATATTAATTATATTAACAATAGGGGATGACGTTATTGTTACAATGGAAAATCCAAATACTACATTAAAGGAAATGATCAGGGTCATAGATAATTACAGCAAAATTTCAAATTATAAATTAAATAAAGATAAATTACTAATATTAGATATAAACTTAAAACAAGTTACAAAAAGAGAACTAAAAAGTTTATAATTTTTATTAAAAAAAGCAAAGTCCAATAGTCTGGTGGCTGTTAATATCCATGAAAAGCACTTAATGAAGTGCAAGTGTCCTTGGAATATAGGTGGCAAGTGCAGATGTCCTTGGAGGTCCTGATACGCGTTTCGCCCCTAGCATGGGGCTTCCTCAGTCTTTGGTGGCTTGTAGATTCCTCTGTGGTCTTTTATGCCGCTTTTGCGGCTTACTTCCGGGTTCCGGTGTTCGGAATTTGGAACGCACATTGCGTTCCATGCGTCCGTGACGTCACTTCCGGTTTCGGCACATTTGTGGGATTTGAATAGAAGCTTGAAATTTGGAATGCACGTTGCATTCCGTGTGTCCGTGAAGTCACTTCCGGTGTCAGGATTTGGAACGCAAGTTGCGTTCCATGCGTCCCTAATGTCACTTCCGGTTTCGGCAAAGATATGAAATTTAAATTGGAGCTTAATTAATGCATCTGTAATGATCAAATATGTGCAAATATTGGCTGGCAGTAATAAAGTCTTGTTATCATGATGGAAATATAGTCTTTTTGTACATAAGTCTTCTCACAGTCATAAAGTAAGAAATCATATATAGCAGCACCTCTATATAGATGTAATAAACAATATGATATTATACATCAATTTAATATACTGATATTTTTTAATTCAAAACCGGCTAGTCTAGCCATAAATGTGTTACAGTGCAATTTGGTGGTTCATATCTTAGATATATATATATATTCTTACCTTAACTTAAAGTGACTTTGGTGCTAAAGTGCTTTAAAGTGCAGAGAGTGATTTTTTTTTTTAATTAAAAAAAGTGACATAATTCAAAGTCTGAATTTAAGCCATTTGGTATTAATGTGTTAAATTTAAATATAAATTTCATTTCTTCTGACCCTATTTTCTTATTGTAATTGTTTTTGGGTCTGCAAGTTTTGTAGGTTTTTTTCTTTTGTAGGTTAAAAGTTCTAAGCGTAATCTTTTTTGTACTTCTAGTTCTAAAGTTAAGTGATCTTCATTGTATCCTTTCTCAATAAATTGTTTTTTTATTCTAGTCGCTTGCTGTATGTAATCTTCATTGGTAGTACAGTTTCTTCTGATCCTTAAAAATTGTCCTTTAGGTGCGTTTTTTAGCCACGGTGTGTGATGGCAACTGTTCTTCTCAATATATCCATTGGCATCTACTGTTTTATAAAAGTTTTTAGTGGTGATGGAGTTATTTTGTATGAAAATATGTAGATCCAAGAAATGGATGTCATTTTGACTATGTGTGGTGGTTAGTATGATACCCCAGTCGTTGTCGCTTAGGAAGAGGTTGAACATACCCAGAAGTTCAATTGGGCCATTCCAGATGAAAAATATATCATTGATGTATCGGCGATAGCACACCAAATTCGACACCCAGGGATGTTCTGAGAATATAAAGTGTTCCTCCCAGTATGCCATAAATAAATTGGCATAACTGGGTGCGAATTTGGTGCCCATCGCCGTACCTCTGATTTGGAGGTAGAAGGTATTATTATACCCAAAAAAGTTATTGGTGAGAATGAGGTAAATGCCTTCCAGAATAAACTGGATTTGGTCGTCATGGAAATCAGATTTGTGTAGAAAATATTGTACAGCCCTAATTCCTATTTCATGAGGGATGATGGTATATAGGGATGTTACGTCGCTGGTGACCAGATGGAAATTTGAGTCCCATTGTATGTTGTTGAGTAACTGTAGAGTGTAGATAGTGTCTTTTAAGTGTGAAGGATTTTTTATTACCAATGGTTGTAGTAGTGTATCTATGTATTCTGAGACTCTTGAAGATATGGAGTCAAGCCCTGATATAATAGGACGTCATGGGGGTTGGTAAGGGTTTTATGAATTTTAGGGAGGTAATAAAAAAACGGGATTTTAGGATATGGAATGTGTAAGTATTTACTTTCTTTTTCGGTTAGGATTTCTTTGTCTACTCCTTTTTTAATAAATTGCTCAAATTTATTTTTTATTGCTTCTGTGGGATTGGAATTTAGTTTTTGGTAGGTGGTATGGTCCGAAAGGATGCGTTCTGACTCCTCTGTATATTGGGCTTTTGATAGGATGACGATTCCCCATCGGCCGGCTTGATGATTATTTCTTCATTTTTTTTTTAGTTGTTTTAAAATATTTTTTTCTCTGAGGGACATGTTTTGTTGAAATTTGTTTAATTTTTTTGTTTTTTTGATATCCCCCATGACCATCATTTCGAAAGTGGTTATCGCGTGTGAAATCATGTGTTTAGGAAAGAAAGAAGATTTTTCTTTTGATTGTGTTTGTTTGTATTTGGGATCTACTGGTGCTTTTGGAATTTCTTCTTTGTCATGGAAGAATTTTTTTAAGCATAAATTTCTTATAAACTTGCATAAATTTCTTATAAACTTACTTAAATCTACGAAGAATTCAAACTTATCTAATTCGGCTGTGGGAGCGAATTTTAGACCTTTTTTAGGACTTTTATTTCGTCCTTATTTAACGGATAATTGGTGAGATTGAAGATGCCTTGTGTGTCTATCTCTTCCCCCTTTTTTCTTTGTTCCCTTGTTCTTCTCTTTCGTGTTCTTTGGATCTGGGGCGTTTGCCTGGGGATTCCCACGAATTTGGTTTCTCCTGCCAGATCATGTCTTCTATTCTTGGGTCCTTCCGAAAAAGGGGTAGTAATCTTCTGTATTACTGGGTTCTGTTTCTATAGTTTTGGTTTTTCTGTTATCCCATGAGATTAAATTTTCTCTTTCAGGTCTTTTGGGTTCTTCTCTCAGACTTCTCTCTTTGGTCGTTCTGTTTCTTACTTCCGGAATTCTTAAGTCTCTTCTGGGGCTTTCTTCCAGGATAGCTTCTCTATAAGTTCTTTTTACTGGACTTTGATGCTCTGAGATGTAGTCTCTCCTTTCTCGCTCTGAGACATAGTCTCTCCTTTCTCGTTGCGACTGGGAGTAAGTATTGTAAGTAGGTTTTGTTGTTCCTGTCCTATTGTTAGAGTGGTTTGAGGGGTCCGACTCAGGTGGTTACAATATTTTTGTTGACGCACTATATCACTTTATTCACTGTATTCATCTCATTTGTCATTATTTGGAAGTTAATGTTTTATCTTTAAACAATTGAATAAACAACTCAAATTACTTTCAGAAATATCATGGATAGTAAGGATCAATATATTTAAAGCATATATCCTCCCAAAATGGCTCTATATTTTCCGCATGATTCCTTTAAAAATTCTAAAGCATGGCTAACAATAATCCAAACATCCTTTAATAAATTTATTTGGAAACCAAAAAAACCCTTGAATAAATATGTGTCACAGTCTCTGGCTCGTGGCTGCACGTGGTCGCATCCGACAGGTTTAGGAGCTTACCTGTTGAGCAGCAAGCCGGGAGCTGACCCACTGGGGCATCCGTCCCCTTCACACGCGGGATCCTAAATGGCGCCAACCATGAGATTGCGGCCATTTGTAACTCCACCTCCAAAGGTTGCGCGAACGTGTCTGTGATGTCATGTCATCGACGTACACGCACACTTTGGGGTCAGAGGCCCAGCCCTGACCAATCAAACCCCTCAATTTCCATAGTTCATTACCCTGTCGTGGTTTCCGTTCCTGGTTCCCGAGAGTGTGTTTTCTTTTCCTTTTTATTGATATTCACAGTATTCTGACTTTGGCTATTCCTAACTATTCTCATCTCTGGTTTCCCTGACTTGGCTTTCTTATCGATCTTGTGTATTTCTGGCTTCCTTGACCTAGGCTTTCCCTTGACCATTCTCTGTCTTTCAACATATTAATCCGGCCACGGACCGGTTTCCGTTCTGTCTATTTTTCTATTCTCTGTAGATGTTACATAGTTTTGCATGTTGGATCACATTAGTAGTCGTGACAATAAAAACTTTAACACAAAAGTATAAAGATGGAAGTCTAGGATACCCAAATATTAGCCAAGTAAGCAAAGCATGTGAAATACATATAATATATATTTACCTTAAGGAAGGAAGCAACAAATGAACCATGATATGAAATAGAAACAGCCAATATAAAATTAAATATATTAAAAAGGTATTCTGGAATATAAAACAAAAACAGTGGATAATTATAATAAACTCCTTAATAGTGATCGAGATGATCAATTATCTCTGGAATAAAAAAAATGACATATTCAATAAAAATGTATGGATGATCTCCCAATTGAAGTATTAGAAATAAATATAGAAGATTTAATGATAGGTGTCACTGTGTAATACCCCAACACGCAGAGTTTAAGATATCAAGGGACAAGACAGGGCTATATCGTATTACCGGGCCTTAGAATAGCCAGACTAAACCTCAGACAGAGATAAAGCGTAGTTGAACAAAAATTGTAGTCCAGGCACTCAAGGATCAATTCAGCAGGTTTATTGGAAAAGAGTGCAATGTTTCGATCCCATAGAGACAAGCTGAGGTCATGGTAAGTGAGAGACAGGGAAAATGAGAACTAGCCAGAGTCAGGTACACAGTAATCAGTCAGACGGGCAAACAATACATGAAAGGGTTAAAGATAAACTAAGAGTCAGTAATCAAGCCAAGATCAATACCAGAATAAACACAATAGATCAGGGAACACACTAAAGGGTACTGAAACAGAAATCAAAATAGGGCACAGTGGATAGGGCTAGGGAAGTTTAAATAGCCTTTAATTACCATTTGATTGGCCCAGGTCATACCTACGCCTCCAAAATGTGCGTGTGTGGGGGTGCCAGAATGACGTGGGCTAATGGGAGCCTGAACCCACTTGATGCTCCCACTGTTCCTTTAAGAGCGCGCTTGTGACGCGAGCAACGCTCCTAGTGCGAGGTTGGCCAAGTGACTGCTCAGAAGAGGAGATCAAGCCATGCGGCTTGTGTGGAGGCGTGAGTGCTCGAGCACGTTGAGGACCACGACCGGCCCCCGGATAAGGTAAGTACCACCCCAATAGAACACTGAAGAGAAAAAGGAATAAGAAAAATGAGAGACCATCATTTACAATGAGATAAAACCGTTCATTAACCTCAGAGAAAATATGATCATATCTCTCTAAGATTGTTTCTCTTATATAAGAATAAAAACTTTTTTTTAATAAAACATAGAATATCCCACAATACAGCTCAAATAAAACTCTTTGCTCAAATGCTAAATGATGTAAATAATAGCAAAATGATAACAAAAGCTTCATATTTAATTACTTTATGCCAAAATACAAACACCTATATTGACTATTGGCTCTTGGAATATAGGAATAAAATAATGGACAAAGATGCTGAAACAAACAAAGGGTGCAACTCACTGTCTAAATGAGGTTGCACCCTTTGAGTTGCACCCAATATGAGTTAACCAACAGATGGTATCATGGCCCCTTAAAACTATCGAAAACATACCAAACTCCAACATGTTGGAGATGCGGAGAAACGAGAGCTGACCACCATATGTGTATGTATATGTATGGTGGTCATGCCCCAAGATAAGAAAGATGTGGCAGAAAATCTTTGAATTGATAGAGTTATGGACGCCACGGCATTACTTCATAGTGGATGGAAAAGATTAGGTAAAGATACAAGAAATTTCATTATCAATATATTAGTTGCCACAAAATTAAATATAGCTAAAATTGGAAAGCTTACTACCCTCCAAGTACAAAAGAAATAAAATACCAAATCATGAATCAATGTCAAGTGGAACATGGCATAAATAGACATTTTAACACTAGTAATAGAAATATTCAAAGATGGAAAGTATGGATACAAAAGATCAAAAATAATGACATAAATGAAGAGAGAGAAAAAGGGAGAGGAAGTATAAGAACAATGAAGAGGAAAAAAGAAAAGGAAAAAGAGAGAAAAAGGGAAATTGATACAGAGGAAGTGAAATATTGGGAAGAGAAAGGGAAAGAGAGGGAAGGAAAAAGAAGGGAAGAAAGAGCATATAAGATAATAGGTCAATATAGGATCTTGGGTTTAGTACAACAGTAATGTTTGCAACTAGTAGTTCAGAAAAGGGAATTAGTTTTTTTTTTTTAATGTGTTAACCCCTTAAGGACACAAGCCATTTTTGCATTTTTTGCTGTTTCTGTTCAAACTCAATTTGCATCTCTGTCATTTATTGCACCAACACATATTATATACAATTTTTTAGAGGGCAAACAGGGCTTTTTAGTTTGATACATAGATACATTCTCATAAATTATAAAAAGAATGCAAAAAAATTGAAAAAACTATTTTTGTTCAAATATTTCACAGTTTTGGCAATAATAATATGTGCGTAATATATCCAGCTTAGAAAAAAATAATTAAAAATAAATTCATTTATGTGTCTTGATTTATAGAGTACATCATATTTATAGGATTTCAGCTTATTTTGAAAGTTACAGGTCACAAAATACAAGGACTAAAATAAAATTTCAATTTGCAAAAATTTTAGAAGTTGGTATGTTTGTCTCGTAGGTTTTAGTAGCCATCACAGAAAAAAAAATTCCACACAAAAGTATATATTTATATAAAGAAGACATCACAGACTATTTACCTAAGGTTAGTTTGACACTTTTCATGTTGCCATTTCATCGCCAATCTCTGCTAAATATGGGAGTAAAATTGTGTTTTTTCTTTATTTTGGCATAAACTCAAAAAATTTGAATATCGTGCAAAAGTTAATTTATTTCAGTAATGCAACGTAAAAGGGGAAACTAATATATGAGATAGACGCATTACATGCAAAGCAAGATAGTTCAAGCCGTGAATTGTCATAAGTGCAATGATTATGGCTTACAGCTCATGAAAACCCCAAATCTACAATCTCAGTAAATTAGAATATTGTGAAAAGGTGCAATATTCTAGGCTCACAGTGTCCCACTCTAATCAGCTAAGTAAGCCATAACTCCTGCAAAGGGTTTCTGAGCCTTTAAATTGTCTCTCAGTCTGGTTCAGTAGGAATCACAATCATGGGGAAGACTGCTGACCTGACAGTTGTGCAGAAAACCATCATTGACACCCTCCATAAGGAGGGAAAGCCTCAAAGGTAATTGCGAAGGAAGTTGGATGTTCCCAAAATGCTGTATCAAAGCACATTAATAGAAAATTATGTGGAAGGGAAAAGTGTGGAAGAAAAAGGTGCACAAGCAGCAGGGATGACCGCAGCCTGGAGAGGGTTGTCAGGAAAAGGCCATTCAAAAGTGTTGGAGATGGGGGGTGGGGCTTGGATGCCATGCTGAGCAGTCGCAAGGGAAGAAGGCTCCTCACGTTAATCGCCTGATTCTCTAGAAAGCGGCCTAGTGCGGTGTCTGCTGGGAGTGACAGCCGACCTCCTTAGTGGATTCCCGCGGGCTTAGTTGAGTCTGAAACCTGTCCCCCCCCCTTTGGACCGGTGGGGGTCATCCCGGTCCACACTGTGTACCCCACAACTCTGAGGGCATACCTAATCTCTCTCGTTCCACCTCGTCAAGTAAAATGGCAGTGGTCCTCCTTCCTGGGCTTACACTGACACCGACCACGCAGACTCGAAGTAACGCTGTTGAAACTTGCCTGCGGAGACTGAAGATCCACTTCCAAAACCTCTGGGCAGACCTTGAGGCTTGTATGGCATTACCTCGACCAAGTACACAAGCTGGAGATCGGGGGACCCGAGTGCGACGGAGGGGTGGACTCTTCGAGGGCACTACTCTACCTCACGCAGATGCTCTGCGCCCTACCTACCATTTCAGGCCGCAGGCCATCAGGGGTCACCCCCCAGCGCAACGACAACACAGGCAGAAAACTCGCAGACGGCGATCAAAGCCGGCAGCAACCCACCACTTGCCCAAGCAGGGAAACTACTCAAGACTCCGAGCCAGCGCGCGGAGGCTAAGGTCCTGCAAGAAAATCCAAGGAGAATTGCCTCAAACCTCTTGCAGAGGAATGGAAGCTACATTGCAGTGCCCACCGGCTGACCCAATACACAACAGCAATCCGCAGACGCTGCACCTCCATACCGCAGTCCTCCAGAGTGGGCATAGGCTGACTGCTGAGAACTGTCAAGGGGACTTGCACTACCCAGTAATGATACACAGTAAAGTCCAACCGCACAACTAGTGGTTAATGCCTCAGAATTGTCTTTCTATTTATATTTTACTTATATTGTTTTGGGCTAGAGTTCTTGTGCCCTCAGGTTTCCTTATACTGCAAAAGCCAGGCATAACGCCTAAACCAGACCCACTTACCTAGCAAACACTCCTTAGATAATAATGCCCTAGCTAAAAATAAACATATTAAGCCACCCAGTATAGTAACATTCGTCCTTGGCACTGACACTGTGGGCACCGGCTGCCAGAGAGGACTCTACTGCACATCACCATTGGCCAGCCTTGCCTCCATGGCCTGGGCTTACACCCATATTTACTGCCCTAGTGAAATGCTATGATATCAGACACTTATTACAAATGCACTTGTTAGCAACGCTGTGCCACCAGATGCCTCTTGTGAGCCCAGCATGTAACAAACCATAGTAGGTTCTCAACTCACATGTGACACCAGACTATCTCCAGTTAGAATGTTGATTTTACTAATATATATAAAAATGTGCCTGTCCAGCAAATGCCACACTGTATAATGCAAATGTTTCTGTATCTACCCTGCAGACGCTGTTGTGACGCATCAGGGCTACCTGTTAATTTCTGTGCACAATCAAATAAAGAAAAAAAAAAAGTTTAAAAAAAAAGTGTTGGGGACTTTCACAAGGAGTGGGCTGAGGCTGGAGTTAGTGCATCAAGAGCCACCACACACAGATGGATCCTGGACATGGGCTTCAGATGTCGTATTCCTCTTGTCAAGCCGCTCCTGAACAACAAACAACGTCAGAAGCGTCTTACTTGGGCTAAAGAAAAACAGACCTGGTCTGTTGCTCAGTGGTCCAAAGTCCTATTTTCTGATGAGAGCAACTTTTGCATCTCATTTGGAAACCAAGGACCCAGAGTCTGGAGGAAGAATGGAGAGGAACACACTGCAAGATGCTTGAAGTCCAGTGTGGAGTTTCCACAGTCTGTGTTGATTTGGGGAGCCATATCATCTGCTGGTGTTGGTTCACTGTGCTTCATTAAGTCCAGGGTCAACGCAGCCGTCTACCAGGAGATTTTGGAGCACTTCATTCTTCCTTCCACAGACGAGCTTTATAGGGATGCTGACTTCATTTTCCAGCAGGACTTGGCATCTGCCCACACTGCCAAAAGCATCAAAGCCTGGTTCAATGACCGTGGGATTACTGTGCTTGATTGGCTAGCAAACTCGCCTGACCTGAACCCCATAGAATATATGGGGCATTGCCAAGAGAAAGATGAGAGATATGAGACTGAACTGAAGGCCGCTATTGAAGCACCTTGGTCTTCCATAACACCTTAGCAGTGCCACAGGCTGATAGCATTCATGCCACGTCGCATTGAGGCAGTAATTGCTGCAATAGGGGCCCAAACCAAGTACTCAGTCCATATGCATGCTCATACTTTTCAGAGGTCTGATAGTGTTCTATGTACACTCCTTGTTTTATTGATTGCATGTAAAATTCAATTTTACGTAGATCGTCGATTTGGGGTTTTCATGAGCTGTAAGACATAATCATCGCACTTATGACAAATCACAGCTTGAACTATCTTGCTTTGCATGTAACGCGTCTATCTCATGTATTAGTTTCCCCTTTTACGTTGCATTACTGAAATAAATGAACTTTTGCACTGTGATAAGGTGAATGGGGTCTATATCTCGACAGAATTGTTCAGAGAGGCATATGATTTTTAACCCCGGGGGGAGTGTATGTTTCTGTGTATGTAACCAGAATGAATATTTAATTATGGGCCCCTGGGGTGGAGCATTTGGAGAGCAGGGTGGGCCAGTGCTCCACTTCGCAGTTTAGCGGTTTTCTTGGAAGACATAGATCCAGCCCAGGGTTTTGGACTGTCTCCAACCTACTGCTCAGCTGCAGGTAATCGGCTGCAGCAGTGGGAATAAATCCCTCCCTGCTAGGCAGGTAGGGAGAGAATGTTTTGTTTCTCTCTGAAATGCTGGAAGCAGCAGGCTGGCTAAATACTGGAGTGCTGAGAGTGGACAAAGACTCTAGGTTGGTGAAACCAATATTGTTTTGTTTAGTGTAACCCTGAGAGATAGGGAACCTAATGTCAGTTAGTGCTCAGACGAGCTAGGTTTTTGTTTATAAGGTTTTGTGTTACATTTATGTTTTCATTTACTGCTGTATCCTGTGTGGATTTACAAATAAAGTGCCTGGAGTATATGCAATTACAAGGACTGTGCCTATTGTTTACCCTAGAGGACCGTGCTACCTGCAAACAAGGATCACAGCACGATATTCTAATTTTTTGAGTATCACCTGTACACAAATAACATGATTTTTGTAATGTGTATTTCGTAAAACTGGTGTGTGCTATTCCTGCACAGAACCCCATATTGTGTTCAGCTATATCTGCTGAGTATAAAGATACCCCCATTGTATGCCTTTGGCACTATTCTGTAAACCTACAATGCCAGATAAGAGACAAGGCTATTTCAGTTTCTTTTTTATAACTTTTTTTATTGAGGTATTATGAGCAGTACAATGAGGTCATCAATATAACAGGATACTTCATAGGTACAAGTATATCGACGTTATTGATAACAGGGAGAGTTCAGTGGAGAACCTGTGTTTGTAGTATAGGGGTTTTTGTTACGTGTAGGTGAAGTTCATATGGCTTTGATGTCTGCATACACAATAGTACAATGTGGAAGGCAAACTAGAGTACAATATATGTTAAAAAGTGCAAAGTGTGGGATGATGTTATAGCCGGTCATCGGGTATTGCAAGGTGGTGCACGCTGCTACCTTGTGGTAGGAATAAAGCAGTAATGTGTGGATGTAGACACTGGATGGTGGTATATTTAGGTGCATAACAGTTTGGGAGGTTTATACGACTTATCAGCCTGGGAGGTTGGCAATGTTCGAGGGTGGATAGGGGTTTAGGCCTGATGGGAGAAGTGGTGGCTGTCAACTTATCCGTGATTACCTTGGAGGAATTGGAGCCAAGGTGTCCAGGTGGTGTGGTATTCGTCATATTTGAGAGTGAAGGAGTAGGATAGTTCCTCCATTGTTCTAATGGAGTCAACCCTGGCAATCCAGGCTCTAATAGTCGGGGCTGTGGTCTGTTTCCACATCGTGGGGATTAGAGTGTTGGCTGCCGTTAGGAGGTGATTGAGTAAGATGCATTGGCGCTTGTTTAGTGGTTGGGGGTATGTTAGGAATAACATGGTTTCAGGTGTTTTGGGGAAGGTTGATGCCAGTGATGGTGCGTATGAGGTTGGCAATCTTTTTCCAGTAATCCTGGATCACGGGGCAGAGCCACCAAATATGGCCTGAGGTTCCCTCAGCTTGTTTGCATCTCCAACATGTTTTAGGTGTGTTAGGGAAGAACCTGTTAATGCGAGTTGGCGTATAGTGCCACTTGGCAACTCGCTTATAGTTGCTTTCGTGGGTGCTATTGCTCCTGGATGTATGGAAGATGTTGTGGAAAATTTTGTGCCATTCTTTAGCCTGTATTTGGGTGGACAGTTCTTTGTCCCAGTGTGTGGTGTAATTTGGCAGGATCTCATCCTAACTGTGGCGGATTGTTTTGTAGAAGGATGAGATTAGACCCTTACGTAGTGTGTGTTGAGAACATTGTGTTTCGAATAGCGTGGGGTTCCTGTGTCCCTGGAGGAGTATTGGGTCCGAGTGTAGGAAGTGTTTAATTTGTGCATGTCTGAGTCTGAGCATGCTAGAGGGTTCGGCATTGGGGGTGAGGTCCTCTAGTGAGATGATCCCTTTGTCGTTGCAGACATCACCTAAAGTGTGTGTGTGGGTCTGTTTAGGGAAACTTTGGAGAGCGATTGGGTTAGAGCCCGGTAGGAAGGCTGGATTGTCGTGAGTGGGTAGAGCGGTGAGGGGTGTGGAGCTATATATTGGTCCCTCCTGATGTTATGCCAGGTTCTTAGGGTGTGAGCTTTGTAATACGCCTCCAGGTCAGGGAGACCCAGGCCACCTCTCTGTTTACTTTTGGTGAGGCAGTCGTATCGGAATCTGGGGGGATTTTCCGCCCATATGAATGTTGTAAATGTCCGCTTAGCTTGTGCGAAGAAGGAGGTAGGGATTTTAATGGGGAGGGTTTGTAGCAGGTAAAGAAGTTTGGGGAGTATATTCATTTTTAGGATGTGGATCCTGCATAGCCATCCAAATTGTGGCTTGTTCCAAGCCTTGAGGTCTGCTGCTATCTTAGCAAGAAGGGGAGGAAAGTTGATGTCATAGGTACGGTCTAGGGAAGTGATGAGTTGGACACCCAGGTATTTGACCGAATCTGAGGGCCATTGGAATGGGTAGGTTTTGTGAAGTATAGATCGGGTATTGTGGGATAGGTTGAGGGGGAATATCTCGCTCTTGCTGACGTTGATTTTGTAGTTAGAGACTTGGTGGTATAGGTCAATTTGTTGCATGAGGTGGGTCAATGATGTCACTGGATTTGAGATTGTGAACAGAAGGTCATCAGCAAACTCTGTGACCTTGTATTCGTTTTGTGCCACTGTGAAGCCCGTTATATCCGGGCAGTCCCTAATTCCCTGTAGGAATGGTTCCATTGTGAGAATAAATAACAGGGGGGAGAGAGGGCACCCTTGCCTCGTGCCGTTGGTGATTTGAAACACGTCCGAAAGTTGGCCATTCACCCGTATTCGTGCTCCTGGTTTGGAGTATATGGCTGAGAGCCACTTACTCCAGTTCGGGCCGAAGCCTAGCGCTTGCAGTGTCAATTTGAGCATGGACCAGTCCACCCTGTCAAATGCCTTTTTGGCATCTATGGTAAGTATGAGGCTTTGGGAATGTTCCGATTGGGCGGCGTAGATGAGGCTGAGCAGTTTCATTGTGTTGTTTTTTGCTTTGCGCCCAGGCACGAAACCGAATTGATCAGGGTGGATCAGCCCCCTAAGTAATGGTTGGAGTCGTTCGGCTAGGATCTTTGTGAATGTGGCAAACCTAGCCACTTGGACTATAACCAGAGACTGTACCTTTAAGGGTTGCCTGTATGTCTGGGGAGATATGTGTTTAACTACGTATATTGTATGCTGACTGTAATGTATTGAATTGCCTGTATTTGCTATCCGCCGAATGCAGATAGCTGTTTGTATGGGGTTTTCCTTTCGTTTCACGAACGGCACTTTGGAGGGCCGTTCGTGAACCGAAAACACTACCCCTAATAGCCCACACACTTAGAGGCGTGTGGCGCTGGTTAACCGATTGCAACAATGTTGCAATCGGTAATTAGAGGCTCTCCTGGGTGGCCGTCGTTCGACTACCGACCATGCGGCGGTCGGCCATCTTGGATCCTTTGTTCCCTCAGCAGTGCTAGGTCGTCGAGCGCATGGTACTAAAAACAGCTACTCGACGGCACGAACACCGCTGAGCCTCCAGGACGTTCGGGAGTTCCAGGCCGTTCGGTATTTCATTCCCTGGAAGGCAATCGGTCTTTTCAATATGGTTTTCAATAAATGTGTTTTTCGTGCGGCGTTCGGTTATTTTAGCTGGGATCTGAGCGGTAATCTCACGAATGAATGCGCTCAGACCCCAGCTATCTACCGAACGTCCATTCGTGCAAATCAACAGTATATTCACAAAGTTATGGATTTTTGTATAAATTGTCGGTTCTGCTGCACGAGGGGATAATCCACTTAACGGCATATTCTAGGAGGAGGATCCCTCTCGTGCAGCGGTGCCTGATGGGAGAAATGTGTTGTACTGTAAGTTCCCCATGTAGTCCCCTCTAGGAATGCCCCTGGGAGGGGACTCAGGAAACCCCTTGCATGGGGACTTGTATAAATTGTGAAGCAGAATTAAAGGACTTGAGTTGACTCTCAGAACTGTGTTTCGTCCGGTTACTGGGAGGTTGGGGATATTGCCTTGTTGTTTCAGCGCTTGACTGTGGATTACTTCCTGAACCAGCGGAATTCGTGGATTTAATATTGGCGTTCCGCTACAAATGGTGGCAAGCGACGGGATCCAACTCTACAGCCGAATACAGCGCATTCGAATGAAAGGAACAACCGAACGAAAAAAGGGAAAGGCAATTCGTATGCAACAAACAGACGAAAGCGATCAGTGAATGGGGACGGATTACACGGCATTAAAGAGGCAGACGCTAAAGGAACTGCTGGAGGCTAGAGGAAAAAACGCTAGCAACAAATCCAAAGCAGTACTAATTGCAGAGCTGATGGAAGGCGACCAAGCACACAGCAGTCCACCCCCACCTGCCAGGGAGGAAACACCATATCAGAGGGAACTGAGAACCCGGTTGGAATTTGTACCTCAGCCAGTACCCCTGGACATCTTGACCGTACTGATGGCAGACGTCCAGGACTACATTATGGCACAGCAGCCCCAGGGGGCACCCTCCAGGGCAGAATCCATCGCCAACTCATTCTGCGCTCCAGTAATGCAGAAAATACCTTACCAGGCATTTAAAGCGTTCTGCGAGGAGAAGGATGAGATCGACGGATACCTGCAGGATTTTGAGCGGTTATGTGACCTACACGATCTGGAGCAGGCAATGTGGGTACCCCTACTAGCAGGCAAGTTGGCAGGACGAGCAGCAGAGGCTTATCGCGCTGTGCCCAGAGAGGACAGCAAGGACTATTTTAAAGACAAAAGGGCAATTCTAGAGAGGTATGCCATAACCCCGGAGGCATACCGGCGTAAATTTCGGGGATTGAGGAAGCCAGAAAAAGATTCCCACGCTGAGTGGGCACATAAGCTTGACCAAGCTTCACAAGGGTGGATTCAGGCAAGCCAAGCCACCACCATGGAGAGACTGCGCCAACTCATCCTGCTGGAGCAGTTCTTTAACGGCCTGTCACCAGAGGCACAAGAGTGGGTAAGAGACAGAAAACCCCTCACCCTCACAGAAGCCGCCCGGTTGGCAGATCAACACTTTGATGCCAGGAAGCATCATGGGCTCACCAACAGGGGTCCCCTGAGACCACCAGTACAACACAACCCGACCATCTCCACACCTACCAACTCTGCCCCATTCCGGCCAGCACCGGGGAACCCTCCACCACCATCCCGCTACAATGGCCGAGCCAACATACAATGCCATACCTGCCGGCAGTGGGGGCATATGTCCCGGGAGTGCACCCAGAATCGGAGTAGACAGGCGTGGAACCAGGTACGGCAAAACTCCACCCCAAGGGCAGCAGCTCATTACTACCACACGGAGCCTGACCACTCTGAGCTGGCAAGTCCACAAACCGAGGAACCATTGGGGGTTTTATATGAAGTGATGTCTGTGCAAGCCACGGACAACAGGCAGCATCACCGCCAAGTTGTGTTTGTGGGGAGGAAGGAAGTGCAGGGGCTGAGGGACTCGGGAGCCACTTTGACCCTGGTTGCTCCACATTTAGTTCCAGATGCGGCCCACACTGGCGGATCAGTGGCGGTCAGGGTAGCAGGGGGAGCCATGTACCGGCTACCCACTGCCAAGGTGCATTTGAACTGGGGTGCTGGGGAGGGGGTTGTAGAAGTGGCAATAATGAAGAAGTTACCGGCAGATGTTGTGTTGGGGAATGACTTGGGCCAGATGACTTCAGCTTTCCTACCACAGGCCCCTTCGCAAGAAGCTCACCCGGTAACTACACGGCAACAGGCTCGCACCATGGCACCACCAGCACACTCTGAGGCTCAGGTAAGAAACCATGACCCCCCCCCTTGACGCATATGACCTGGGACACCCCGACCACTTTTGAAGCAGAGGTCCAGACAGACCCCACACTGCAGGTGTACCGAGATAGAGTAGACACGGACCAGGTGGGGTGGGAGGGGGAACGGTACATTTGGGAAGACAAGTTATTGTACCGGGTGGCTGAAAGGGAAATAGGAAACTCTGTGACTCTCCAAACTAAGCAGCTGGTAGTACCCCAGAAGTATAGACTTGAGTTACTAAGAATAGCCCATGACATTCCTCTGTCCGGCCATTTAGGGATGACCCGGACCCGGTATCGCTTAACTCACGCTTTCTTTTGGCCCGGGATTTCTAAAGATGTAAGACATTATTGTACCTCCTGTGATGTGTGTCAGCGTGAAGGCAAGAGAGGGGATCGCCACAAGGCGAAACTGTGTCCCCTACCTATAATTGAGGAACCGTTCAGCCGTGTGGCTGTAGATATAGTGGGGCCACTACCAAAACCCAGCCCCTCTGGGAAGTGGTATATACTGACCGTGGTGGACTACGCCACCCGGTACCCCGAGGCGATTGCCTTAACCAATATTCACGCTGAGACCGTGGCCGAAGCCCTGATGAAAATCTTTTCCCGAGTAGGGTTCCCGCAGGAAATTGTCTCCGATAGGGGGACACAATTTACGGCCGAGGTTACTCAGCAGTTATGGAAAATATGTGGCATTAAGCCAATCATTAACTCGGCCTACCACCCTCAATCCAACGGATTGTGTGAGAGGTTCAACGGTACCCTAAAACAGATGCTCCGTACATTCAGAGAGACCCATAAGGACTGGGAACGATTCCTTCCCCATCTGTTGTTTGCCTACAGAGAGGTACCCCAAGAGTCTACCGGTTTCTCCCCATTTGAACTGTTAGTTGGGAGAAGGGTCCGGGGACCGTTGGATCTCATTAGAGAGCATTGGGAGGGAGAGAGTAGCGCAGATGGGACCCCTATTGTACCATACGTGCTGGCGTTCCGGGATCGCCTGGAGGAATTAACCCAGGCAGTGCGCACCAACCTCCAGGCCGCCCAGCAACGACAGCGTCGTTGGTATGACAGAGGTGCCAGAGACCGTAGTTTTCAAGTGGGACAGAAGGTGTTAATCCTCAAACCTGTCCGCACAGACAAACTACAGGCCGTCTGGCAGGGCCCATACCAGGTGGTAGAGCAGAGATGCGATACCACCTATGTGATCGGCCCATGCTCCGGAGTAGGGAAGCGACGCATGCTCCATGTGAACATGCTCAAACCCTACCACGAGAGAACGGAGGACGTGGCAGCTATTTGCACGCCCGCCTCAGAAGATCAGGAGAACTTACCTCTTCCAGATCTGTTAGAGCAGGAGGAGCAGAAGGAGCCCTCCCAGGGGGTTCAGCTGGGGGAGCGGCTAAGTCCTCAAGAGCGTACCCAGGTACAAGAACTGATAGCGACAAAGGGCGCCACCTTTTCTAACTTACCTGGGTACACTCCCCTGGCCACTCACAGAGTAGAAACCCCGGGACAGCTTCCCATGCGACAAACCCCATATCGGATTCCTGAATCCGTGCGGGAACATATGAGGAAGGAGATTGAAGAGATGTTGCAGTTGGGGGTTATCGAACACTCCGATAGCCCCTGGGCATCGCCGGTAGTCCTGGTCCCCAAGAAAGACGGTACCACCCGGTTCTGTGTGGACTACCGGAGGTTGAGCGACAAAACCGTGTCGGACGCTTACCCGATGCCCCGGATAGACGAACTGCTATATAGGATGGCCAGAGGCCGGTATCTCACGACAATAGATCTTTGTAAGGGATACTGGCAAATTACACTAGCCGAGGATGCCATCCCCAAGTCGGCGTTTGTCACCCCGTTTGGCTTGTACCAATTTCGAGTCATGCCATTCGGAATGAAGAACGCCCCCGCGACATTCCAGCGGATGGTAGATCGGCTACTGGACGGGTTCCAGGATTATGCGTGCGCATACCTGGATGATATTGCCATCTACAGCCAGACCTGGTCGGATCACCTACGACATATAGGGGCTGTAATAGATCGGATCAGGGAGGCAGGGCTTACCTTGAAACCCAGCAAGTGCCACATAGGGATGGCGGAGGTCCAATACTTAGGGCACCGGGTAGGTAGCGGGCAACAGAAGCCTGAGCCCGCAAAGATTGAAGCCGTAGCCCAGTGGCCTACCCAAGTCCTTGCCTTCTTAGGTACCGCCGGGTATTATAGAAAAGTTGTGCCCAATTACAGTGCCCTGGCCAAACCCCTGACTGACCCCAGAGTGTGAACAGGCATTCAACCAACTGAAGACGGCTCTAACCAATGCCCCTGTACTGGCTAAACGTTTTCTTGTCCACACAGACGCCTCAATGTTTGGATTGGGAGCAGTACTGAGCCAGGTCGGAGCAGATGGCGGAGAACATCCCGTAGCATATTTGAGCCGGAAATTGTTACCCCGAGAAGTGAGCTACGCCGCCATAGAAAAAGAATGCCTGGCCGTGGTGTGGGCCCTGAAAAAGTTACAGCCATATCTCTATGGGCAACCCTTTACCTTGCTCACAGATCACAACCCTTTGGTGTGGCTAAACCGTGTGGCTGGAGACAATGCCAAGCTGCTGCGCTGGAGTTTGGCGCTACAGCCTTTTGACTTTACCATCCATTATCACCCCGGGAAACAAAACGGTAACGCCAACGGGTTATCCAGACAAACAGACCTTGAGAAGTGATCTGTGCGCCCTCCCCCGGACATCCCCAAGCCGATCCGTTGGGATCAGACTGTGTATGCCGGCTTGGTTCTGGGGGAGCATTGTGGCAAACCTAGCCACTTGGACTATAACCAGAGACTGTACCTTTAAGGGTTGCCTGTATGTCTGGGGAGATATGTGTTTAACTACGTATATTGTATGCTGACTGTAATGTATTGAATTGCCTGTATTTGCTATCCGCCGAATGCAGATAGCTGTTTGTATGGGGGTTTTCCTTTCGTTTCACGAACGGCACTTTGGAGGGCCGTTCGTGAACCGAAAACACTACCCCTAATAGCCCACACACTTAGAGGCGTGTGGCGCTGGTTAACCGATTGCAACAATGTTGCAATCGGTAATTAGAGGCTCTCCTGGGTGGCCGTCGTTCGACTACCGACCATGCGGCGGTCGGCCATCTTGGATCCTTTGTTCCCTCAGCGGCACGAACACCGCTGAGCCTCCAGGACGTTCGGGAGTTCCAGGCCGTTCGGTATTTCATTCCCTGGAAGGCAATTAGTCTTTTCATTATGGTTTTCAATAAATGTGTTTTTCGTGCGGCGTTTGGTTATTTTAGCTGGGATCTGAGCGGTAATCTCACGAATGATGCGCTCAGACCCCAGCTATCTACCGAACGTCCATTCGTGCAAATCAACAGTATATTCACAAAGTTATGGATTTTTGTATAAATTGTCGGTTCTGCTGCATGAGGGCATAATCCACTTAACGGCATATTCTAGGAGGAGGATCCCTCTCGTGCAGCGGTGCCTGATGGGAGAAATGTGTTGTACTGTAAGTTCCCCATGTAGTCCCCTCTAGGAATGCCCCTGGGAGGGGACTCAGGAAACCCCTTGCATGGGGACTTGTATAAATTGTGAAGCAGAATTAAAGGACTTGAGTTGACTCTCAGAACTGTGTTTCGTCCGGTTACTGGGAGGTTGGGGATATTGCCTTGTTGTTTCAGCGCTTGACTGTGGATTACTTCCTGAACCAGCGGAATTCGTGGATTTAATATTGGCATTCCGCTACAGTGAATATCTTGAGATCTCCGTTTATCAGAGAGATGGGGCGGTAAGTCCCACAGTCTTCGGGGTCTTTCCCCGGTTTGTGTATGAGGGTTATGTGGGCTTCTAGGGATTTGGTTGGGAGGTTATGCCCTGATGTAAGCGCATTAAATGCATCCACGAATGGAGTTTTTAGGACATTGGTGAAAGTTTTATAATATTTGGCTGTGAAGCCATCCGGTCCAGGGCTTTTCCCCAGGGGGAGTCGTTTGACTACTGCAGTGAATTCCTCAGGTGTCATGGGGCTGTTGAAAGTTTGTCTGATATTCAGGGGGATAGTGTGGGTGATCCTTGTGGCAAGGAAATTGGTCACATCCTCACTAGAGGGCGGGGCTTGTCTCAGGTTGTATAGGTCTGAGTAAAAAGTGTGGAATTCCTTAAGTATGTTTGGTAGGAGGTGTGTGCGTGTGCCGTCTTTCTGTTTGATCGTGGTGAAGTATGTCCGTTGGTTGTTTTGTTGGAGTGCTCTCGCTAGTAATTTGCCACATTTTCCTCCTTGAGTGTAGTAAGTGTGTTTAGTGCATAGCAGCATTCGTTTAACCTTGGAGTTAAGAAGTGTTTGTAGTCTCGTGCGTTTGTCCACTAGTTGTTTGTATATGTCAAGGGACACATTTTGTTTGTGGGTTTGTTGGCGTATGTCAATGAGTAAGTCAGCTGTCTGTGCTTCTCTCAGTTTTTTTAGCTTTGAGGCTAACGCTATAATGTGGCCCCTTAGTACCGCCTTGTGAGCTTCCCAGATGATTGGTGGGGGGGAGATGGTGGGTTTGTTTTCCTCAAAGTAGTGCCGTAGTGTATCAGTGAGTGTTTTATTGATGGTTGGGTCATTTAGTAGGGTGTCATTCAGTTTCCATTGGGTACGGTTGGGTGTTAATGAAGGGATTTGAATAACCAGTGACAATGGGGCATGGTCCGACCAGGTGATTGGGCCATAGTTGCAGGATTGGATTAGGTGTAGGTGTCTGTGGTGGAGGAAGAGCATATCTAGTCTGGAATAGGGATGTTTTACCGTAGAGTAGTAGGAGTAGTCCTTGGTGTGTAGGACGTGGACATGGATGTGGTGTCTAGGCACATGTTTAGATCTCCTCCCGTTATTAGGATACCTTCCATGTGACTTTTTATTATGGTAATGTATTTCTTCAGGTGCGTGCTTTGTTTGGTATTAGGTAAATACATGTTAGCAAACGTCACCATTGTGTTGCCTATCTTACCCTTCACTATGAGGAGCCTGCCATTGGAGTCTGCATAGTGACTTATGTGTGTGTAGGGTACGTGTGTACCTATGAGGATGGCTACTCCTCTAGTCTTGGCCTCTTTGTAGCACCCATAGTATCCTGTGGGGATTGCGAATTGTGAGGGTTGAGCCCATTTTGAAGTGGGTTTCTTGAAGGAAAGCTACGTCTGCCTTTAGGTTGCGTAGCTCCCGGAGGGTCAGCGCTCTTTTCATGGGGGAATTAAGGCCCCTGACATTGAGAGTGATTACTGTGAGACTGGCCATGTTGTCTGCGGGGGTGAGTGTTATGTTGTGGTGATGTTGAGTGAGTATGTAGCGATCAGAACGAAATATAAACAGAATTAACAATAAAACAATCAAATAAACTATATACAGTTCAGCTCTTACACTTGTAGAGCTGGAAGTTGGGATGTTATTGAATGTGGAGTCAGTCTGCCTTGTTTGACGGTGGCTTTCCCCTTGGTGGCAATTAAGTCCAGGGGAATAGTTTATGGGACCATTTGGTGGTCACCGGTCATGATGGGAATGGGTGGTGAGGGCTCAGTGGTCTGGGTCGGATTGGCTCGTTAGTGCCGGTCCGGTATCTGGGCCGTGATTAGTGCGTGCATACCATCTTCCAACTCTGCAAGGACCCAAGACATCTAGTACAGTATTGTAACTAGGATAATGGCATGACAGGCATTTGGAACATATCCATAAAACAATAATCATAGCTCCTTAGTTTGTGACACAATTTGGTTCAACTATACCTAGAAGCATACTAGGAGCACGCCATGCAGGTTTTTAGGAGAAGTACCGTGGGAGAGGTGTAGGGGAGGAGAAGGGTGTGGGGACGGGGAGTAAAGCAGAGGTAGGTGAGGGGGGGGGGTGTATGAGGGTAGACAGAGTAAGGGGGGGAGGGGGGAGAGGCTTGAGGAGGCAGAATGTGCTCACACAATGTAAACCAGTTTAAGAGTAAGTATGATACCAGTCAGTGGGTCTTCTTCTGGACTTCCCATAGGCATATCATTGCCGTTCAGTAAACAGAGTGCTCAAGGTTTGCAGGGTTGGGTTCAGGAGTCTGTACAGTTCCGAAGTGGTTAGAATTTAGTCCTGGATTCGCAGTAGAGGCAGTGCGATACCTACTCCTTTGGGGCCAAGCAGAGTGAGGCTTGATGGGATCCTTGGTTCTGGTAGAGATTGGGAGGCCTGACTCGTCTGTCATAACGTTGGGGATATTAGAGTGTTCTTTTCCAAGGAAGGTGTGTGTGTGTGGATCTTGGCCTCTAGGGTAGGTTGAGTCACTAGAGCGTCTCTTGTTGGTAGGAGTCCAGGGGAGTACGTTGTACTTGTTCACGCTTGTAATCCAAACTGGGCCAAAATGAATCCAACAATGAGGTCAGTTCGTTGAATAGAGTCTCTACTGTCCGTATATGCGGGTTAGACCGTGGTTATGGACCAATACACAATATACATGGTAAGGGCGGGTGGTGACCGGTGGTGTTGGTAGGGAGATTTTTTTTACTGGGTGGGGGGTCCTGCTCTCGGTCTGTGTCCCCCTTGATGTGTGGTTTGGTCATTGTAGCGTCTCTTCGACGGGGCCTGTCCTCTCAGTCTGGGATATCATGGTAAGGGCGGGTGGTGACCGGTGGTGTTGGTAGGGAGATTTATTTTTACTTGGTGGGGGGTCCTGCTCTCGGTCTGTGTCCCCCTTGATGTGTGGTTTGGTCATTGTAGCGTCTCTTCGACGGGGCCTGTCCTCTCAGTCTGGGATATCATGGTAAGGGCGGGTGGTGACCGGTGGTGTTGGTAGGGAGATTTATTTTTACTTGGTGGGGGGTCCTGCTCTCGGTCTGTGTCCCCCTTGATGTGTGGTTTGGTCATTGTAGCGTCTCTTCGACGGGGCCTGTCCTCTCAGTCTTGGGGCATTGTGCTGTGGAGGCAGGTGTATTGGTCCATACCAGTCTGGGATGCAGACTTCTGGAAGGTCAAGGGCTGAGGTGAAGGTTTGTATATCCTCTGCCGATGAGAGGGTGGCAGTGACCCCGTTGTGTGTTGCTGTGATGGCGAATCCCCATCTGTAGTGTATATTCCTGGGTCTTAAGAGGAGTGAGTGGTTTCATTACCCACTTAGTCCTCCAGGATAGGTCTGGGTAGATTTGCACTGGTCTTCCATGGTACAGTAGTGGTTGGGATGTCTGGCGGAGGCTCCTAAGGATGTCCTCTTTAACGCTGTAGTAGTGCAGCCTGCAGATTACATCTCTGGGGGAGTCCCCTCCAGGGTTCCTGGGCTTGAGTGCTCTGTGCGCTCTATCTAGCAGAATGGGCATTATTACGTCTCGTTGGAGGATTAGGTTAAAAAGTTCTTGCAAAATGGAGTGTAGGTTTTCCCCCTCAGCCTCAGGTAGGCCTTTAATCCTTAAATTGTTCCGGCGCCCCCTATTGTCCAAGTCGTCAAGTGCCCTGTACATTTGTGTGTTATGAGCTACTACAGTGCTTTGTAGGGCTTGTAGTTGTGTGCATGTGCAGTCATAAACATTTTCTAGGGAGTTAACCCTTTCACTGACCTGTCTGACTTCCATGGAGATGTCATCCATTTTCTTTTGAAAGGTCACTTCAAGTTTCTGTAGCATAGCAGCCAGATCCTGCTTGGAAGGGAGATTTCTGAGTATTTCTTTCAGATCCTTGTCTCTATCAGTTTCAGATGTGAGTGATATGCTGTCTGATGCCGCCGGGCTGGAGGGTGCTGAGGATTGCTCTGCCGGGTCGTCCGGCGCCATATTGGAGCCTGCGGCCTCATTTTGCCGGTCGCCCTGATCTTTGAGATATTTAGTCAGGTTGCTTGTTTTAGCCCGGATTGCTTGCCCGCCGTGTTGGGGGCCGTCGAGAGGCGTTTGGGGTGTCCCATGATGTGGTAGGTGCCTGATGGATGCGGATTGCCCTGTGTCTCTCTTGGAGCTCAGTTAGCAAGCGTCCATTCGCACTCGCGGCTAGCTCCGCCCCCCCCCCCCTATTTCAGTTTCTATAGTTAGAATTTTCGTAGATGGATTTGACGGGCCTATGTCTCATTTTAGGGTATTATATCAGTGTGACTGTTCAAATAACCCCACAAATGGCTTTCATTTAATAAAGCAGACACCCCAGGATATCTTATATGGTGTATATTGTGCCTTAACTTGTCACCATTTTTTCACCAATTTATGTCAATATTTGTGTTGAGGGAATAATAAAAATGTAATTTTTACATATATGTTGCATTTTTGCTGATAAGTTACATCTTCTGAGTAAAACAATATAGCCAATGTATGACCTAGACACTATTTTGTGAAGTTACAGTGCTGTAAAAGAGACGTGACAAGTTCATGTTTTTAACCCCTTAAGGACCAAACTTCTTGAATAAAAGGGAATCATGACATGTCACACATGTCGTGTCCTTAAACGGTTAAGTGTGAATTTTCATGGAGGGTTTTGATGCGTTCATGTCCAACTTTGGAGCACTTGAGCAGGCTACATATTCCAGCTACACACAAAAGGCAGACCATTTCTTAAAGTAGACATCCCAGGGTATTTCAAAAGGCATTTTTTGAACCTTAGCGTGGGATAATTTTTCCGCTAGCTTTTACCAAGTGTAGTGGTAATAAGCATTTTTCTGCCTTTTTGACACACAGAGTGAGTTTGCACAGTATATTTTGAAAACCTTATGCGTGCTACGACTGTGTAATACTTCATATGTTTCTCAGCTATGTCGTCTTAGTACAGCAATACCCTCATATGTACCTTTGCCACGTATATGTGGACATTGAAAGGGGCATATTTGAGACACAGTCATTCCAGTTTTTTTCTAACTTTGAAGTTTTACACTGTGTCCATGTTCAATTTTGGAGTAGTTTAGCTGCTTGGGTATTCAAACTTCCCCACAAACACATACTATTTATTAAAGAATACACCCCGGGGTAATTCAAAAGGCATATTTTGAACCTTAGCGTGGGATTATTTTTCCGCTAGCTTGTACCAAGTATAGTGGTAATAAGCATTTTTCTACCTTTTTGACACAGAGTGAGTTTGCACAGTATATTTTGCAAACCTTATGCGTGCTACGACTATAATACTTCATATGTTTCTCAGCTATGTCGTCTGAGTACAGCAATACCCTCATATGTACATTTGCCAGGTATATGTGGACATTGAACATACTATTTATTAAAGAATACACCCCGGGGTAATTCAAAAGGCATATTTTGAATATTAGCGTGGTATCATTTTTTCTCTAGTTTGTTCCAGGTGTGGTGTTAATGAGCATTTTTAAATGTATTTTTTTAACCTTTTAAAACTTTTTTTTACTTTTTAAAACTTGTTTTGAATTTTTTTTGTAGTCAGTGATCAATTGGCAGGGAAGGGGTTAAAGGGGGGTGGGATTTGAAACTATTTTTTTTTTTTTTTACACAGGGAGAAGATCACTGCTGATCCGTCTCCCTGCACTTAACACAGAACGCGGAAGAGCAGGGAGGAGGATCATGAGTCCCTGCAGCACATGTGCTCGCTCTGACAGCTCTGAATACCGAGGCAGACTGGAGGGGCGTTAACCTCTCGATCGCCACCATTAGGGCGATCTGGGGTTAACTTTAGCGCATGACTGACCCGGTCCGTCATCCGGAGTAAACTGCTTCCCAGGCATGACGGACCAGGTGTTAAGGGGCGTTAAGGAGTTAAATGACACCTTCATGTCACAACTTGTACAAGCACCAACTAGAAAGGACGCTTGTCTGGACCTGGTTCTAACAAACAACGTTAATCTTTTGACCAACATTCAAGTAGGTGAGCACTTGAGAAATAGTGATTACAATATAGTGTCCTTCAAAATAAACTCAAAGCTCAAAAAACAAAAGCACATGTGGTATACTAAAACATATCATTTAAAAAAGGCCAATTTCAATAAGTTAAGGGGAACATTACAATATATTGACTGGCATAAACTCTTTAGTGAAAAGAACACTGAGGATAAATGGAATATCTGCCAACAAATATTAGAAAGGTACATTTCTCAGTATGTACCATTGGGTAATAAATATAAAAGAAACAAATTGAAACAAATGTGGCTTAGTGGGAAAGTGAATCAAGAAATGAAAAATAAGAAAAGGACATTCAAAGCCTTTAAAGGACCACTATAGGCACCCAGACCACTTCAGCTTAATGAGGTGGTCTGGGTGCCTGGTCCAGCTAGGGTTAACCATTTTTTCTATAAACATAGCAGTTTCAGAGAAACTACTATGTTTATATTAGGGTTAATCCAGCCTCTAGTGGCTGTCTCATTGACAGCCGCTAGAGGGTTTCCGCGCTTCTCACTGTGAAAATCACAGTGAGAAGACGCCAGCGTCCATAGGAAAGCATTGTGAATGCTTTCCTATGGACTGTCTGAATGCGTGCACTGCTCCTGAGGAGGAGGAGGAGAGTTCCCCGCCCAGCGCTGGAGAAAGAGGTATGTTTAACCCCTTCCTCACCCTAGAGCCCGGCGGGAGGGGGACCCTGAGGGTGGGGGCACCCTCAGGGCACTATAGTGCCAGGAAAAAGAGTGTTTTCCTGGCACTATAGTGGTCCTTTAAATCAGACACATCAGAGGCATCCTATAAAAGATACAAGGACACTAATGCGTGCACAAAGGCGATTAGCTTCGCTAAACTTCAAAATGAAAAAATGATAGCCAAAGAGAGCAAAACCAACCCGAAGCATTTTTAAGTACATAAAGTCTAAAAAAAATTAAACTGTAGGCACACTAAAAACTGGGTTAGTTAATGAAAACCAGGAAAAGGCAGAAATTTTAAACAACTATTTCTCCTCTGTATATATTAAGGAAGAACCTATGGCAATTGATATGCAAATGGTGGCTGAAAAAAAACTTGCAGAAAAATTGTAATTGGCTAACTCAAGACAAGTTGCTGCAGCAACTAAAGAAAGCTAATATAAACAAAGCTCTATCTTGAGATACACCACTAGAAAAAGGATCCACTTAAATAATCAACACAAGAGATGGGAAGGTCGCCTAAACGGACCTGAAGGCTACACACACCAGAGCTAGGTTTATTAGCTCTGGATCATGTGAGTGTTCCATATTGGATTTCTTGTTTTATCATATGTATTATGGCAAGCATGTCAAACTCAAAGTCTGGCACGGGCCACATAAACAAGGTTTAAGTTTATGTGGGCCGCAAAAAAAAATAACTTTTCATAGAAACCTAGGTTTATTTTAAAAAGTACAGTATTAAAAAAAAGCAGCATCCCCCTCTACTAAATCCCAGTCCCCCCTCTACTAAACCACAGCACCCCCTCTACCACCCTGTGCCAAATCTGATCCTCTCGCTGACACACACACATACTCACTGACAGACACACACACACATACTCACTGACAGACACACACACACACACATACTCACTGACAGACACACACACACATACTCACTGACAGACACACACACATACACACTGACAAACAGACACACACAGTCACAGACACACACACTCACTGACAGACATACACACATAGTCACAGACACATACAGACACACACATACACGCACTGACAGACACACTCACTGACAGACACACATGCACATACTCACTGACAGACACACACATACACACACATACAGACACAGACACACACATACTGACACACATAGTTACAGACACACTGTTATGGACAGATGAATTAAAATAAAATGGCTATTTACTAATGTCTATTTATTCTCTGTTCACTATGTTAAAACTGGCTTCTAGAGTAAATATTCCCTTCCCCCCCCTACAATGTGGTCAGCTGCTGTTTACTATGTAAATTCCTCACATCCTGCTAGCCTCCCCTCCCCCACTACCTTTGTGCCAGTTAACAGCTATATGCCATATATAGCTAAATGGAGGATCATTGGTTTAGAACTGATAGATACCACTCACTCCCCCTCCCATCGTGTATCCAAAAGTGTGTAATGATGACACTACATTCTGTAGGGGGGTTTAAACAAGAGCCCCCTTTCTCTGTTAACCAATTGGTGAATGTATACTGTATGTTTAAACTGTGACGTATTTTTGCTTTAAGAAGGAGCCCCCACTCCGGGGAATAAAGCATTCCTGGGTTTTTCACTGATCAGAAACTTTGTCTCCGGTGTGAATTACTTCTAGGGAAAGCGTGCACGCATTAATTAATCAATTTGGAAGGTGTAGATAGACAAATAATCAAAGTTTTCTTTGATCCAAAACAATTTGGTGGAGAATGCGGGCATTTAAGGGATACGTTACTAAGGCAGCCGTCAGATCCCAAGACAGGAGAGCAAAGGATTCCCAGAGATTGGAAACGGAGCCTGATCACCTCTGCATATGGTAAATGAGTTACTTACCTATATTTTCCTTTCTTTGGATTTCTCTTGTTCTCCGTGCCTTCACATTCGGCTTCCGGTGTTTAACGTCTTCAGACAGGTAATATATATATGCCCGAATGTCCCCTTTTATATAGAACCTGTCACTTGTCTATCTACAGCCTGAGTCCTGAGTGTGAGTTTTATGTGTGAAAGTGTCTGTTTGAGAATCTGTTTTACTACTTGCTTAATACTGTTATATAATGCTGCCAAGTGTGGTTAAGCACTTGCAGGTTTAGCCAAGTTCGGGTTTGGTGGAAAACCCCTGGCTCTATATTTATTTTAGCTAAGCTTCGGTAAAGAAGTTATTGCGAGACTCGGTCAAGAGTTTAAAAATAAATAAATAAAATAATTAAAAAAAAAAAAAAATTATTTTAGCTAAGCTTTGGTAAAGAAGCTAGTGAGTGATGTTTTGGCCTCGTTTGGTAAAAAACCTGGCGGTTCCTTTGTTTTATTAAGACTCGGTCAAGAGTTTAAATAGCTAAGCTTCGGTAAAGGAGCGGTTTATGTGCTTGAGTGTTTCTGTGTGTGTGATTTGATTTATTATAAGCCGGCATTTATTTTAAGAACTTTGTGATTTAATTACATCTGTATTTTGTGCTTTTGTCTGTGTATGTCTTGTTGGGTACCATATATGTTAATTGTAATCTATACAATTTGTATCGTTACTCTCCTATTCTATCTTTTGTCCTAAGGAGAGCTGTGCTTAGGCAATCACATGGTTAAAAAACTTTGTGCTTGCAAGTCTTCCTCCCTCCTCCCCCCTCCTTCTTTGTTGCTTTCTCTTGCTCTGACTGCTATGAGTATTGGCTACAGGGGGGTGGGGTGAATGGGTGAAATGCTTGTAAACTCAGTGAGGAATGTGAGGGAAACAAGGTATATTTGCTGGACGAATAACCTAGTTAGGAACTTTGTGTAATCTTGTATATGTTGTTAAGTAAGAGGTTATTGGCATGTTGGAATAAGGAAAGTTAGATTTTGTTGGAACAAATGAATTGTGGAATTTATAAATGATATCGCAGAGAAAAGTAAATTGCAGTTTGCATTTAATAGCAGCTATTCAGATGCTGTTTTGTGGCAATCTTTATACACCCAATGTGAAATTGCCAATAGTGAAATTGACAAGAAATTGTTTGTTAATAAAAAAATAAAATAAAAAAAAAAAAAGATCAGAAATGTTATGAAACTAGTCTGTACTTACAATGCATTGATTTGTAAACGTAATGCAGGTGAAGACAATTTAGAATCAGCAGATAAAGAAATAGATTTGAATGGGTTAACAGAAGACAAATCAGATTTAAATGAACAGTGTAACAATGTAACAGAGAGCACATGCTGTAAACAGTCAGAAACAGTCTGTGAATTAGAGGATAGAGTTGAACTAAGAAATGATCTTATTTGCCAGCTTAGAAATGAAGTTAAGCAAGTGTGTGTTAATACAAGAAAAATACAGACACAGAATCTAATCCCAGAACCAATAGATACTGAAAATGTATCCTCACAGAGTGATTTGCAGAAATATAAATTTCAAGACAGAGCTGCAAAACTTAATTTGAAAATACATGAACAATTAATGAAAATTGTGAAATGTATTCCAGTTTATGACACGTCAGTGGATGCATTTACTAATGCTGGAATGTTTGAGTCAAATGTGGACAGATACAGCCTAAATGACGAACAAAGGAATAGATTGTTTAAAATATGGCTGCCGACTCAAATGGCATGTAGACTGACCACGCTTGTAAAATTTCAGGACAATGATAAAATAATATATGGGAATGGATAAGGCTGATTTCCCCCTATCCACAGCCACGCCTACTCCTAAAGTAACATCGCGTACATCCTTACTATGCCCTTTTACTGTAGAATTTCCCGAATCCTAATGACCCATTCCACTACATGGTGTGACTTGTTTAAGCCTAAGATAAATTGGCTGATCAGGCTACCTGTATTAACAATGTCATCAACGATGAGTTAGCATCTGTGGAGAAGCATCACTTCAGGTTGTCCCAAATTTTCTTTTAACTTAAGTTTTAGTACATAGTAAGGCCCATGCCCAATAACTATATGCAGCCTTGTATAGCAGGCCACATGACATCTATTTGTACCAAGCAAGGCCTGCCTGACTCCTCATTCCTGTCTAACATTGTTGTCTCCTGCATAAGTGTAGATGGCTCTCCTTGGAGTAGCCTGTTAACTAAGCCTTGCTTTGTGGATACCTTCACCTGTCCAATTAATCTGCTAGGTGCAGATGTCCTTCCCCCACTTGCAGGCCCCTATCACCTTATTATTTATTTTGTTCCACACAGTGAAACCTGACCAAGAGGCAAGGGTCCTAGCTAGTTCCCCCAATACCTTTACCTGAATTATACAGGCCCCAAAGCCTGTCCAAGCTCTTACTATTCCCTAACAGGTTAAGGCTCTGGTGTCGAATGTTGCCCTGGTTACCTGAGACTTTCCATGCAATATCCCACCTCTCCTTGTGATGGACGAATTCTGTGCAGGATAATGTCACCCTGCAGGGATGATACTCTATTTACCTGGCCACTCTTCTGCCACTTCCCAAGGGGGGAAATGATAAGACACTGACTATTTTTTTTTTTTTTAGCCTTTTTCTTATGTTCTGTTCCGGATTTGCTGTCACTACAGTGGACCAAGTATCTCACCTCAACAATGTCTGCACAAGAAGCTGAGCTATAGACTCCCATCACACCATGCAAGATCTCTGAAGGAAGACTGAACTCAGAGGAAGCATGTGGCAGCTCTCTGGCTGACTAAGTTGTTCAAAAAGTTGTAAGTGCACTAAGGGAAGTGGACAGAAAAGTGTCTGCTGAAGAAACTCCCATATTCACCATGTAAGATCCTACCCACAGACATCAAGCTCCCGAAGGAATAACAAGCAAGCTACTGACCCTGGAAAGAAAGAAAAAAAACAAACAAACCACAAGCTGGAAACAGAAAGGGGCAACTCTTAAAGACAGGCTGTACTTCAACAATCTCAAGTTATACTTGCCCAAGAACATATACTCAGCAGTGGTCCAGTGGGCCTACGGAGCATCTGTCCAGAACCCTCATGAACTCTTTTGATCAATAAATACTCTGAAGTACCAGGAATTGCCTCTCTGACCAACAGTTACTGTAAATCTTGTGCCATTTGTGCCAAGGGCAACTCAAGAAGAATGGATGAAAGCCCCAAGCATCTAGCCAAACCTCATTATCTCTTCCAGAGGAGTCAAGTCGCCAGAATGCCAAAGAATGGCTGATTCAAATATGCACTAATTATAGCAGACATGTTTTCAGGATGGCCAGAGGCCTATCCAGCCACCAAAGTGATAACCAAGACCACATGCTGAGTAGTGCACCGTGAAAGATACAGAGATCACCCCGTGGGTTCATCATTCCAGAATCAAGCCTGCCTCTGCATCATGTGAAGTAACATTTGTTGATCTTGACAACCCTTTTTGAAACTCCATTCTTAGAGAACAAAGATACTTGTTGAAAATAAATAAATAAATATCAACAAGTGGGTGTTTTGATGGCCATAATAATGCCTGACCACCTGCCATCGATGGAAAGCTGAATACCCCAAAAGGGGACCTCGTGAAACTAAAGAGAAACAAACATACTCCTTACCCTGCAGCCCTCACGTCTGAGGTGCCATACGCACAGTCAAAGCTTCTTCAAGATCATCTGCTTATCTTGAGTTTGTGGTGATATTAATATTAAATGTTTAAATGATCTGAATCTGCCAGTACTAGGGTAGCATGAGACAAGATTTCTAAGAATAAGTAAATGTGCCCTAGCCTAGGTTATTATGTCCATACACATAACACATGACAATCCCCAAGGTACTCTTGACACACCTCATTCATGCTTCAGGACAAAAAGGAGTACCCCTATAAAGGGTGGTTTTACCCACACATATATATATATATATGTATATTAATGCCATAGGGGTGTCAAGGGGGGTACCAAATAATTTTAAGGTAAGAATCTAAGTTTGAATCTATTCTCCCAAGCATTACGGCTAATAGACCTTTTTCTTACAGGACATGTATGACTCAGCTGAATGGGTAGGTGCCACGCACATGACTGTTAATCCCCTCAAACCACACATTAGGACTTTAAAAGACATGGTAGTCATCCCATATTTGAGGATAAGAGGGCTGTAGAGACAGGTTTCTCTGACACTAACTTGTGACTTGAATGGATGAAATACAATGCTACTAAACATAACAAGTCTAACTGCTATGTCTGCAGAGGAGCGAGGCCTCACCCAGGTACAGTATCCCTGAACCTTCCTCCGGATATGAAGTATGCGTTTTAAGTCTCTACACTGTATTTAAACCTAAGCGGTCAGCATGCGAGTCATGGAAACTTAATACCCAATCATTACTAAAAATATTAACCCAGACGAAGGCATTACTATATAGCCCGGGAACTATACTTGTTATGGGATATATGGTGGGATAGGGCGGTTACAAACTATCTCTCAGATGACCTTCCAGAATAGAATAAGCTTGGAAATGATTTTAGCAGAAAAAGGGAGAGTATGTAAAATACTCCCAGACACCATGACATGCTGTACCTATATTCCAGATAATACAGGCCCTAATGGTAAGGTAACGTTGGCAATAGAAAAGTTAAAGAGTTTGTCCAATGAACTGAAACGAAATTCTGGGGCCACAGATCCATGGGAAAGATGGTTTGGATGGATGTCTGAATGGCAAGGTGCTCTGGCCCAAATAGGTGTTGCCATTTTAATAACGATAATCATCCTCGCTCTTCTTGTTTGTTGTGTGTTACCCTGTCTTAAGAAATGCCTACAAAAGACAGTTGATCAGGCAATCGACCAGACCACCCCGACCTTCCTTCACCAAGAGATTGACGATATCGACCGTGATACACCACATACACCCTTACAGTCCCACCGCACTAAATCAACAGCTACTTCCTCTTAAGGACATTTAGGGATAGCGTCTGTCTCTACGGGCAGAAGTCTGCCGCGGGAGAAGTAGTGGACAAGCTGCTATGGGGTACCCGCGCAGTGAAGTGTTCGAGGCCTGTTCAGACAGATGTGCAAGATAGCCTTTTGTTATTTTTCTATAGGGACAGTATTAGAATGAGAGATAGTAGTTTTAGTAAAAATTGCCATTTTAAGGGGGGACTGTTATGGACAGATGAATTAAAATAAAATGGCTATTTACTAATGTCTATTTATTCTCTGTTCACTATGTTAAAACTGGCTTCTAGAGTAAATATTCCCTTCCCCCCCTACAATGTGGTCAGCTGCTGTTTACTATGTAAATTCCTCACATCCTGCTAGCCTCCCCTCCCCCACTACCTTTGTGCCAGTTAACAGCTATATGCCATATATAGCTAAATGGAGGATCATTGGTTTAGAACTGATAGATACCACTCACTCCCCCTCCCATCGTGTATCCAAAAGTGTGTAATGATGACACTACATTCTGTAGGGGGGTTTAAACAAGAGCCCCCTTTCTCTGTTAACCAATTGGTGAATGTATACTGTATGTTTAAACTGTGACGTATTTTTGCTTTAAGAAGGAGCCCCCACTCCGGGGAATAAAGCATTCCTGGGTTTTTCACTGATCAGAAACTTTGTCTCCGGTGTGAATTACTTCTAGGGAAAGCGTGCACGCATTAATTAATCAATTTGGAAGGTGTAGATAGACAAATAATCAAAGTTTTCTTTGATCCAAAACAACACACACTCACTGACAGACACATACAGACACACAGACACACACATACAGACACACACTGACAGACACACACGTACTCACTGACAGACACACACACAGTCACAGACACACACACACACTCACTGACAGACACGCACATACTCACTGACAGACACACACATACAGACACACACACTCACTAACTAACAGACACACATACTTACTGACAGACACACACAGACACACACATACTTACTGACAGACACACTCACTGACAGATGCACATACTCACTGACAGACAGACACACACATACTCACAGACAGACACACTCACTCACAGACAGACACACATTCTCACTAACACAGACACACACTGACAGACATACAGACATACACACCATATAATTTATTGTTCCCTACCTTTGGGAGCTGGTGTGGGGATTATCTACTCACTGCTCCCTTGTGTGATTTAGTGATGCCGGGTTCCGGAATATGACGTCATATTCCGGTGCCCCACTTCACTACAGACGGTGCGTGGGAGGGAGCAGTGAGGAGCAAGAAGGCTGAGCTCCTTTGCTGCATCCACCATCCCATCCTCCCTGGCCGGGTAAGTGTTAGCAGAGTAGACACCTGCAATGTGGGGAAAGCAGATGACTATTCTGCTATAACACCCGTGGGCCGCAAGTTTGACATGCTACTATTAAGGTTTTACACTATTTTGTATCGATTTCCCTTTTAAGGTATACTTGCTGGCACGCTACAAATGGTCATTTCTGCCAGTTAAGTTAATATCCTTTGGCTATTTTGCACTTAGCACATTGGTTGCACTTTACAAGTATATAGTGCTTCACTGTTTTACCTTCAAAAATCAAGGAATGCACACCAACTGATACAACAGTATCTATCCATATATATATTTATTAATTACAATACAAGTATAAACAATATATACAACAGTGACCACATAGGCTAAACAACTAAACAGGTATATTTACCAAATTCCACAAGCCTATCTGGGCAGAAACACGAGTCATAAACAATCCCCCAACGTTTCGGCTCCTCATGGTAGCCTTTATCAAGGGTAGCTATATCATCACATTATCCAGGACCCCCTTATATACCCACATGTACAAATTACTTACAGCTGATGGCCATCAGTAATACCGCAGAGGGCCGAAACCAGAAGTGACATCATCACTTCAAATCACAGCCCTGTGTGCATAATTATAACATGTGTACCATATACTCACAGTGCTAATCACAAATAAATTCTCCCATACATGTACAGGCATCCTTTTACCATATAATACATATATCCCTAGATGTCCTTATTAACATAAATGTCGCGTGCATGCGCACTACAAATACCAGCGGTCGCTATATTGTCTATTGGCAAATGTTATAACCTCTCCTCAAACAATATGCCAAAAAATGTTATTTAACTCCACTGTAAACCCAGTGAAGAAACCAGGCTCCAAATAGCTTGTGCACAAAAAATAAACAAAAAACGAGGCAATAATCACCTTCACACGGACGGCTAATCCCTTTCCATAGCTCCTCCCCTACGGAAGCCTCTATAGTATAAACATAAAAAATCGCGGCAAAAAAAGGGGCCGCGCCGCCCGCGCATGCGCATAATACTAGGGTATGTAAATTACTCCCCTACGGAAGCCTCTATACTACAAACATAACTAATCGCGGCAAAAAAGCCGCGCCGCCCGCGCACGCGCACAATATCCAAATAATAAGCCTCACAAAGAGAGTAAAAATACAGAGTAAAAATACAGTCCCACTCTTAAAGTGATAGACACCAGAATATACAAGGCACCCATAATGTAAGCAAATATGAGTACATAAGTGGTCCTATAGTATAACAGAACAATAATAATAATAGTGAAAAAAACCTCCACCATGATAGTAAAAGCAACACACCAAAAAGTGTTAAACCCTATACTACATAGGTGCTTATTTCATTCGCTCATGCATCCAAAATCTTGTTGGGCAATCAAAACACTCCCAAGGATGAACACAAAAAAGTGGAATCCATATATCATCCAAAACAGACAAGTTTATATGTACTCAAACTTCCTATATCCAATAATAATCTCTGTTCTTACATGACTACCTACTAGTCTAATCAATTATACAACTTCTTCCATCACTTACAATGGATATACGACACTTCCCCTTAAATAGTAAAGAATATTTATTCACAAATAAATTCAAGTCACTACCAAACTTAAATTATAAGAAAATTCATTAAATCCAATTAACGCCGTCCATTCGCAGATCCAATAACCAAGCCCAAATCCAGGCTAACTCCATCCACGTCACTGAATATACTTGGAACAACCCAATGCCACCCATAATGAATTGCACTCCATTCATGGTCCAGTATGTGCCGTCCATCCCGCCGTATTAAGTATCCAAATAGATTACAATATGCGATCTAAATAAAATAAACACCAATTAAAAACAACATAAACAATATAATCACTACACAGGCAGGGTGGATTAACCAGCCTCTCAAAAATGAAGCTATAATAAAGGAGAGAGTTCACGTTCTTCATTAAGACCTTTAGGGAATAAAACCTGCAATTCATAAATCCAAAATAATTCTCGCTGTTTCAATAACATTTCCCTCGATCCACCTCTGCTCAGAGGTTTCACTACTTCCAAAATCAAATATCTCAATTGTGACACTGTATGCCGCATTTCCGCAAAGTGTCTAACCACTGGATATTGGATCTTACCAGTCCGAATACTACTCTTATGCTCCCTTATCCTGGTGGTGAATTTCCTCGTAGTCTCCCCAACATAAGCCAGGCCACAATGGCATTTCAACATATAGACTACAAATTCCGTTTGACAGTTACAAAAGTCCCGAATGGGATACTTCTTCCCAGATCTTGGATGAAGAAAGGAATCACCCTGAATCACCCCATTACAATTCACACAATGTCCACATTTATACATACCAACAGGCATTCTGAGCCACGATTCCTTAGTCACCATCTTTCCTTGGACTTCCACATTCCTCATTTTTTTGTATCTTTTAAAAGAGAACAAAGGTTTCTCATTAAAACAACTCCTAACCTTAGGGTCCGACTGTAATACATTCCAATGTTAATTCACAATATGCTTGATCTCCTTTGAATGTTCAGAATAAGTAGTAACACACGGAATTCTCATATTCTTATCCTTAATCCTTAAGAAGTTGTTTCCTGGTCAACAATCTAGCCTTACTCTTACATTCCATCAGAATCTCCTTCTCATAACCCCTTGAGACAAACGCCTTCACTAATTCATCTGCACGTTTATCATAATCAGTGTCCCGTGTTGTTATCCGTCGAGTCCTAACAAATTGTCCATATGGTAATTTTTGCAAAAATTGTGGTGGATGAAAGCTATTAGCGTGTAAATATGACGCACGATCAGTAGGCTTCTGATAAAGGTCAAAGCTCAGTTGTCCTTCACTTACCTCCATGGATACATCCAAAAAGTGCATTTGATGCACATCATATTCTATGGTAAAAGATATCATATCCAATTTATTATCCAATCCTTCCTTAAAGCAAAGCAACTCCTCAACCGTTCCTGTCCAAAAGAAGAAGATGTCATCTATATAGCGCACCCAATTCAACACAAATTTTATAAATAATGGATCAGGATATACAAATGCATCCTCAAACGCAGCCATGAACAAATTGGCATACGTAGGGGCCACATTGGACCCCATCGCTGTACCCTGTATCTGCAGATAGAACTTGCCCTCAAATGTAAAATAATTCTTATACAATACCATTGTCAACAATTCCAACAAAAAATCTCTATAGGCTTCACTGATTTCCAGCATTTGCATAGCTCCAAACACTGCCTCAATGCCTTCCTCATGTGGAATGGATGTATAGAGACAATTGATATCCATGGTGCTCAATAGTGTACCTTCAGGAATAACTCCAACGCTTCCTAACTTCTTAATAAAATCCGTTGTATCTTGCACAAATGAGCGCATGTTTAAAACCAGGGGTTGCAAGTGTATATCAACAAATTTAGATAATGGTTGTAAAACCGATCCACATCCTGACACTATAGGACGACCAGGTGGATGCCTCAAGTCCTTATGTATCTTAGGGAGCAGATAAATAAACGGGATTTTCGGATAATCAGTATTTAGGAAATTAAAGTCCCTTCTCTCAATTAATTCCTTCTCTAAAGCCATACCCGTAATTATCTTAATTTGCTCTTTTAACTCACCTGTAGGGTCATACTCCAAGATTCTATAATGACTTTCATTAGTCAATTGATGATTCATCTCAACAACATATTCACTAGTGTTCATCACTACTAGTGCACCTCCCTTGTCAGCTGGTCTTATAGAGATGGTATTGTCTTTTCTCAACTCCATAAGTGTAGCATATTCATGTCTGTTTAAATTCGACCTTCCTTTCTTCTTCCAATTAATTTTATCCATATCCATCTGGCATAATTTAATAAATGTCTCCACACTAGCATTAATGGAAGGAGGAAGAAACATACTCTTAGGCTTACATTTCTGTCTGTCAAATTTGGAAGACTCAGCCATCACAGCCCCTTCCTGAACTGTAGGGGGTATCCTGCAAATGAAAAAAGCTTTTTAAACGTATAGTCCGAAAGAAACGTTCCATCTCTATATCCATACTGAGTTTATCGCCACAGAATGTGGGTACAAACCCAAATCCCACTCGTGTTTCTGCCCAGATAGGCTTGTGGAATTTGGTAAATATACCTGTTTAGTTGTTTAGCCTATGTGGTCACTGTTGTATATTGTATGTATTGTTTATACTTGTATTGTAATTAATAAATATATATATGGATAGATACTGTTGTATCAGTTGGTGTGCATTCCTTGATTTTTGAATAATTATTGTATTGGTATTTGAGGGAGTACCGTTTTGGAATAGCACCCTTAATTGAGGTGGCAGTTACAGTAAGTGTCTCTCCACACGGTATATTGTGTATCACTGTTTTACCTTAAAATGTCACTTTTTTGTGTGTTTTTGGAGGTTTACACATTCAGTGTAGTACCTGCTATCTTTTTTTTAAAAAACTTTAAAAAAAAATTCAAAACACTTTTAAACCAAACCCAGTTTTAACACACACCCTTTCTCTGCTGTTATTGTGCCTTCTACTGTGCCTTCTCAGTTCTGTCTCACAGTTCTGCATTTTGCAACCACTGATAGGATTTTGTAATGTGAGCCACATCGACTTGTAACCGCAGCCGGTTCCTGTATTTACCACTATAACATCTCAAAGCATAGAATTTAGCAGGGCTAACCATACAGATATCTTAGCCATAATATTATATAGTAAGTAAGAGTTCCTCTAGTTAAAATATTTAAATAATTGAGAATACAACATAAAATAGGGATTTTCCTGGAAGCAATAACGTTTTGTCTTTTTAAATATTTTATTAAATAAAAATATAAATATAGACATATAAAATCCATTACAATAACGTATAGAAGAGTTTATAATATTAAAGTATATGCTTGCAATATCAGTAAAATAGAATAACATACCCTCTTGAACATGTCAACCTTTCTCTCAGTCATGATAAAATGGAGCAGCGTCTCTGTCTCCAAAATCTTTTCTCTGTCCTGATATTAATAAGTACACATATTTATACCTTAGATGTTCAATTAGGTCATTTTAGGACCTACCTTAACTTGGCAAAGATACAAGGCCATAACTTGGTCATTTCACATGGGAACATCTTATCTATGTTTAGACTAAAACATAAGGGTGCATATGACGTGGGAAATTCCCTCACTTGGGGAATTACACTAACCTAGGACAAGATGGTGTCCTAAAGTCTGAACACCATTGTATGAAAAACAATATGTTCCATTTCTAATAACTTGTCAGTTTGCAGAATCTCTTAAAGACAAAGTACACAGTTTAAGAAATAAAAATGTTCATTATTTAATTTGTAAAATTTGCATATGCCCATAACAGACTATCTCGTGGTAATACACCCCATGGCAAGGTTTGTCTTGCCATGGAACCTCCTCCTTTTTGCATACTATATCTCTTGTTATTTCAGGCATTCCCTTAGCAGTTTATCTGTGGGAGCCATCTTTGTGATGTACTTGTGGATGTTCTGTGTTTCATCTTGGACTGTGGCCTTGACATTAATCAGGCCCTGACATCCTTCCTTCTAGCTGGTGTGCAGTCTCTGGGTGCTGAATTTTGGATGGAATCCTCCATTCATACGGAGTAGTTTCTGGGTTTTTACATCCATGGTGACCAGCTCTTCTGTTGGCCAGTTTATTATTCCAGCTAGGTACATGATGACAGGTATAGGTGTTGATGACTTGGGTCTTGTTCTTACCATTGAGCTCATACATCAGGACCTGTCTGACTTTTTTGAGGTACTTGGATGTTGCTATCCTCCTTGCCTCTTCCTCATGGTTGCCATGTGTTTGTGGTGCTCCCAGGTACTTGTAGCTGTTCTCTACATCTCCTATTTGACATTCTGGTGCTTGAAATTATTCTGTCCTGACCATCTTTCTTCTTTTTGCTGTCATCCACCCACACATATCTAGTCTGAACGACATTCCAATGTCCTTGCCCTATATCCTACTTAGGTGGATCAGTGAGTC